CAGAAGCAGCAATTTCACGAGATCACAGGCAAGCAGGATTCTGGAATAAATCCCACCCACAACTCGCTTAACAGACTTTTGAGGCGCCTCAAAGTGCTCATTGCTCCCTGCTAGCTGCTCGCTGCTCGCTGCTCATTCATTCTGTTTTCAAGATGCCTTAAAAGTCACGCCTCTGAGAGAGGTGCTGACTGCTTCCGTTCCTTGAACCCAGTACCGTACTTCTTTCCCTAAGAGTGGCGGAGAGAGAACAGGCTGGAAAAATCGGTGGGCAGGCATAGAGGGGTTGTGGCGTGCTTATAGCAGGGGGTGGGTATAGAGAGGGACAGGCTGTGAGGGCACAGGGAGAGGGTAAGGAAGTGTGTAGAGGGTTTCACGGGCTTACAGAGTTTGCAGGGCTTACAGGGTTTCAAGAGCTCACAGGGTTTCAAGAGCTCACAGGGTTTCAAGGGCTTACAGAGTTTGAAGGACTGAGAAACTCGCTAAGTTGGCTGGCAAAGAGCCGTTGAGGCTGTTGTTGTTGAGATAGCTGGTGGTGGGGAGGGGGTGTCGCATTCGGGGTTTGGAAAACAACTTCTTATCACTTGGTTGGCTGCGAGCCGTTGAGGCTATTTTGGTTGAGATAGCTGGTGGTGGGGGCGAGGTGTGTGGAGTAGGGGGGGGGATGGGTGGAAGGAAGGGAGAGTAGTGGGTATATGGGGATGGATGAAGGGTGATGGATAGAGGGCGGGGGCGAAGAGAAAAAATCAACAGATGCGGTTGCAAAGTCATCAGGTGGGTGGGTAGTCATTCGGAATTGGACGTGGGATGTGTGGCTTGGCTATCTAGAGCGCTGCTGCTCACACGTGCTGCAGGCGCGGCAAGGCGGCGAGGAAGGAGGGCATGTTCCCGTGCAGCCCGTTGCGCTGGAAGGAGCTGATGAGACACGGTGAGGTGGGGAGAGAGGAGGGGAGTGAGGAGGGGAGTGAGGAGGGGAGTGGGGTGGGGAGCGAGGAGGGGAGTGATGAGGGGAGTGATGAGGGGAGTGAGGAGTCTCGGCGAGGAGGCACGGCGAGGAGGAGGCGTGGTGAGGAGGCACACAGGGGTGAAGCGAGAAGCACCGTCCGGAGAGGATGGGATGAGAAGCACCGCGAAAGGCGGGTGGAGCATGCACGGGCAGCAGAGGTACATCATGGTGCGAACAGCTAATGAGTGCATAGAACATTAATGAACAGGAGTGAGAGGAAGGAGAGAGGGGAGGGAGTGAGAAATAGGAGAGTGTGGAGGGACTGAGAGGAAGGAGAGTGCGGTGAGGGACTGACAGGAAGGAGAGTGCGGTGAGGGACTGACAGGAAGGAGAGTGCGGTGAGGGACTGAGACGAAGGAGAGTGCGGTGAGGGACTGACAGGAAGGAGAGTGCGGTGAGGGACTGACAGGAAGGAGAGTGCGGTGAGGGACTGACAGGAAGGAGAGTGCGGTGAGGGACTGACAGGAAGGAGAGTGCGGTGAGGGAGGAGAAGGAGAGAGGGATGGATCCAGTGATGCTGTTGTTGTCAACTCGCCTGCAACGCCGTGATGTTCCATACAACATCCATGCCATCCCATGCCATGCCAACCCATGCCATGCCAACCCATGCCATGCCATGCCATGCCATGCCATGCCATAGCATGTCGTGCAATGCAAGTTCGATTGAGACCGTCTTGGAAGAATAAACTAAATAATGGAATTTTGAGACGTCTCGATGCAATACTGGTATGGAACTTACAAGGTAGGTGAACGGAGAGAAGGAGACATACATGGAGCGAAGATACATGGAGCAGAGTAGTGTAATACAGTAGGCAAGACTTATTGAGCTGTAAATAGGTACGTCTTAAATTGGGTAAGTCTTAGATTACGTACGGCTTAGATTTGACGTGGCACTACGAGAAACAATACAGGTAAAGGTAGGTAAACGGAGTGAAGGAAGGAGCACAACAAAGGTAGGTATGGGGAGTTTAGGGGGCGTACATGGAGTGTAGGGGGCGTACATGGAGTGTAGGGGGCGTACATGGAGTGTAGGGGGCGTACATGGAGTGTAGGGGGCGTACATGGAGTGTAGGGGGCGTACATGGAGCGAAGAAGCCTCAGATTGCCCATGGTGGAAGGCAGTGACCCTGAGATGCTGTTGTGGGAGAGGTCGCTGTGGTGGGTGGATAGAGAAGGGGAGCACACAGGGAATAACAGGGGAGAGTGGGAGAGAGAGTGAGAAGGACCATGTGAGTGGATGAATCAAAGGGGACGGATGAGGGGAAAAGGTTTTACATATCAAGCTTCTCCCCTCTTCTGTTCTCCACAATAACAGGCGGGTTTCGAGGATTCTTAAAAACCACCTTCATTCATGTATGAATGAAGTCAGACATTAATCGCATGAAATGAAAGCCACGAAAACGAAAGCCGTCTCGACTTGACAACCCCTCCCTAAGAAGAAAGCTTATTTGTGAGGGGACTGTATCTGTAAGAACGAAGGGAGGGTGCCTTCAATGGTACTTAAGGAGCGAGGATGAGGTGTAGAAAGTTTGCATGAACAATGGATGCGTGCAGGATGGAGAGGTGATTGGGAGGGGAAGTGGGAGGAAAGGACGAGCATAGGGAGGGGAGGAGGAGCAGGGGTGGAAACGATGGGTAATGATGCATAGGGAAGGAGAGGAAATGAAGGCTTGCAAACACTAGGTAGGAACGGCGAGAGAAGGAAGGGGGTTCGTACGTACAGGCCTTGCAAGCTAGAGAGGCCCCCCATGGCTTGTGGCAGGCTGCCTGAGAGCCGATTGGCCTCCACACTCCTGCCATGGGTGGTGATGGGTGGTGAGCGATGAGTGATGAGTGATGAGTGTTGAGTGATGAGTGATGAGTGATGAGTGATGAGCAACGAGAAATGAGCAATGCATGATGGACAAAGCCCCATGAATATGGCAACAAAGCAGTGAAACATGGCACAATGCATGCATGCAGATGCAGATGCAGACTCACAGAGGCATCAATACACGAGGCACATCCTCACAGGAAGACGAGGTTTTCAAAAATTTAATTATAAGCAATGAGCAATGAGCAATGAGGTTGAAAGCATGCAGGCATGCCGATGCCGCCGACTCACAGGAAGGCGAGGTTTTGGAGTTTGGAGATGGAGGCGGGAAAGGAACCGGTGATGGTGTTGTTGTCCAGCCAGCTGGGTCGGCAATGGCGTGGCGGGGAAGGGGACATAGGGTTCAGATAGACAGAGGGACGGAAAAGGGGAGAGGCAGGAGACAGGGATCCAGATGTCTGGTTCAAATTTGGGCGGAGGGAAAGGAGCCGGGGATGGTGTTGTTGTCCAGCCAGCTGGGGCGGCAGCGGGGGACGAGGTTAGGAAGAATAGGGAAGGGAAGACAGGAGATATGAGTGGAACAGAAGCTCACAGGCTTAGTTGGTCCTTTACGTTTTTTAGGGTCACGTAAACGTAAACTTACGTATAAGTTTACCTTCACCTTTTCTTACGCGTAATTTTACGTAAAGTCGCACGGGCAGAAAAAAAAGTTTTTTTTTTTTTTGTCTGCGAAATGGAAAAATCTGACTGATATGAGGTGGGAGAGGTCGTGACATGTCGGTGTAGATTTGGGGCATCTGTAAGATGATGTAATAATGTGCTAACATGCTTGGGCATAGAAGTACCAAGCTAGTGATTGATGAGCCGCTTCCCATGCAGCCACTTGGTCCGATGAATTTTTATCTTTTCGGGCAGCCAGAAATGTTTCTGGTTGACCGTAAACGTAAAGCCTTTTTGTGCCCACGTAAGTAAACGTAAGTTTACTACGTAAAGTCACGTAAACGTAAACCCCTGTAAACGTAAAATACCAACTAAGCTCACAGGTACATCAGCAAAAACAGGCATGCACATCCCCAGCGGCGGCGGCGGCGGCGGCGGTGGCAGCAGAGGCAGAGACTCACACATAGGAGAGGTCTGAGAGGCGGCTGATGGTCGATGGGATGCTGCCAGAGAAGCGGTTGTGAATGCCGTTGCTGTGGAGAGATGTGGATCCAGTGGGAGGGAATGCAAAAAAGAGGGGAGATGACGGAAGATGGCAAGCGATTGTGAATGCCGATGGTCGATGGGATGCTGCCAGAGAAGCGACTGTGAATGCCGTAGCTGCAAGGAGGGTGGTGAGATCCAGGTGTGGCGAGATTTGGATCAAGTGGGAGGGCAATGCAAACAAGGGGGGGAGAGGGAAAGCAGAGGGCACGGGCTGGCAACATGAGAAGGAAGATCAATCGTGTGTGGACAATAGCGGAATAATAAACGCCTATGTTAAGTTGACTCAAGAAACACCGCTTTTTTTATACTTGACTCACAGGTGCTGTATGCAGGTGCCTCAAATGTCATTTCCCAAAGGCACCTCTCTCTCTCTCTCATGACTCGACTCACATGTGCTGCAGGCAGGCACTCATATGTGCTGCAGGCACTCACATGTGCTGCAGGCGCTTCAAGCCAGCAAGGGGAGCAAGCGAGCCGGTGAGATTGTTGCCAGGAAGAATGCTGCAGGGGAGGGATAAGAGGGGGTGAATGGGGATTGCAAAAAACACGCAGCAAACACGTCAGTGGGGATGGGATGGATGTGAGGGGCGGATCACAGGGGATGACCGGGGGAAGGGGGTTGTTATGGGGTTGACATGACAGGGGCGGGGAGGTGAAAGGGGCGGATGGGAAAATGCAAGATGGGGAAACAGAGGACCGTGGGGAGAGAGGAACAAGAGAAGGGTGAGATTGTTGCGCAGAAGAAGTATGCTGGGAGAGACAAGGTGGGAACGCACGTGTAAAGAGTGAGTTTTTGCGCACGTCTCAAAAATGCGCAGAAGTATGCTGGGAGAGAAAAGGTGGGAACGAAGGAGAGGTATGAAAAGGACAAGTTTTAGGGTTTACGATGAGGCTTCAGGGCTAGGGTTCAGGGTTCAGCTTCAAGTTTCAGGGTTTAAGGTTGTGACAAAGCAACCCACTAGCCATGTGCGTTGCTATTCACTCTTGGAGGAGAAGCAGGTGACTTGGTGGTGATGGGACATGAGCTACTAGTTGGTAGACAGGGTTGAGAAGCAGGCAGAGCACAGACGCCAGAGGGGTGAGAAGCAGGCAGAGCACAGACGCCAGAGGGGTGAGAAGCAGGCAGAGCACAGACGCCAGAGGGGTGAGAAGCAGGCAGAGCACAGACGCCAGAGGGGTGAGAAGCAGGCAGAGCACAGACGCCAGAGGGGTGAGAAGCAGGCAGAGCACAGACGCCAGAGGGGTGAGAAGCAGGCAGAGCACAGACGCCAGAGGGGTGAGAAGCAGGCAGAGCACAGACGCCAGAGGGGTGAGAAGCAGGCAGAGCACAGACGCCAGAGGGGTGAGAAGCAGGCAGAGCACAGACGCCAGAGGGGTGAGAAGCAGGCAGAGCACAGACGCAAGAGGGGTGAGAAGCAGGCAGAGCACAGACGCCAGAGGGGTGAGAAGCAGGCAGAGCACAGACGCCAGAGGGGTGAGAAGCAGGCAGAGCACAGACGCCAGAGGGGTGAGAAGCAGGCAGAGCACAGACGCCAGAGGGGTGAGAAGCAGGCAGAGCACAGACGCCAGAGGGGTGAGAAGCAGGCAGAGCACAGACGCCAGAGGGGTGAGAAGCAGGCAGAGCACAGACGCCAGAGGGGTGAGAAGCAGGCAGAGCACAGACGCCAGAGGGGTGAGAAGCAGGCAGAGCACAGACGCCAGAGGGGTGAGAAGCAGGCAGAGCACAGACGCCAGAGGGGTGAGAAGCAGGCAGAGCACAGACGCCAGAGGGGTGAGAAGCAGGCAGAGCACAGACGCCAGAGGGGTGAGAAGCAGGCAGAGCACAGACGCCAGAGGGGTGAGAAGCAGGCAGAGCACAGACGCCAGAGGGGTGAGAAGCAGGCAGAGCACAGACGCCAGAGGGGTGAGAAGCAGGCAGAGCACAGACGCCAGAGGGGTGAGAAGCAGGCAGAGCACAGACGCCAGAGGGGTGAGAAGCAGGCAGAGCACAGACGCCAGAGGGGTGAGAAGCAGGCAGAGCACAGACGCCAGAGGGGTGAGAAGCAGGCAGAGCACAGACGCCAGAGGGGTGAGAAGCAGGCAGAGCACAGACGCCAGAGGGGTGAGAAGCAGGCAGAGCACAGACGCCAGAGGGGTGAGAAGCAGGCAGAGCACAGACGCCAGAGGGGTGAGAAGCAGGCAGAGCACAGACGCCAGAGGGGTGAGAAGCAGGCAGAGCACAGACGCCAGAGGGGTGAGAAGCAGGCAGAGCACAGACGCCAGAGGGGTGAGAAGCAGGCAGAGCACAGACGCCAGAGGGGTGAGAAGCAGGCAGAGCACAGACGCCAGAGGGGTGAGAAGCAGGCAGAGCACAGACGCCAGAGGGGTGAGAAGCAGGCAGAGCACAGACGCCAGAGGGGTGAGAAGCAGGCAGAGCACAGACGCCAGAGGGGTGAGAAGCAGGCAGAGCACAGACGCCAGAGGGGTGAGAAGCAGGCAGAGCACAGACGCCAGAGGGGTGAGAAGCAGGCAGAGCACAGACGCCAGAGGGGTGAGAAGCAGGCAGAGCACAGACGCCAGAGGGGTGAGAAGCAGGCAGAGCACAGACGCCAGAGGGGTGAGAAGCAGGCAGAGCACAGACGCCAGAGGGGTGAGAAGCAGGCAGAGCACAGACGCCAGAGGGGTGAGAAGCGGGCAGAGCACAGACGCCAGAGGGGTGAGAAGCAGGCAGAGCACAGACGCCAGAGGGGTGAGAAGCGGGCAGAGCACAGACGCCAGAGGGGTGAGAAGCAGGCAGAGCACAGACGCCAGAGGGGTGAGAAGCAGGCAGAGCACAGACGCCAGAGGGGTGAGAAGCGGGCAGAGCACAGAAGCACGCACAGCATGATGAGGTTGGTAAGACGCGAGAAGCCAGCAGGCAGCGAGGAGGAACACGTGGGCACGTGGGTGGGTAGGGAACTAGCTAGCTAGGTGGGGGGTGAGACACAGTTGCACGCACAGCATGATGAGGTTGGTAAGACGCGAGAAGCCAGCGGGCAGCGAGGAGGAAAGACCCACCCGCGTGAGCTCCCTGCAGAGAGGATTGAAGTGGCATGGGATGAAGTGGAGTGGAGTGGCAAGGGGTGGAGTGGAGTGGAGGGGTGGGGAGGGGAGTGGAGTGGAGTGGAATGGAGTGGGAGGAAGTGAAAAGGGATGATAACAGAAGGAGAGAGATACAAAACAAATCACTCTTGAGAGTTCTCGATTTTGGAAATGGGCTCACAGGTGGTTGGTATGCAGGCAGCATCAAGAGCAAGAGAGTGCACATGACATGTCAGCTGAATCAAAGGCGTGACAGAGAGACAGTTTTTGTAGTGGAGCATTCACAGGCGCGTCAAGGGAGGAGAAGAAAAGCAGAACTCACAGGCCCATAAACCTTAAACCTTAAACCCTAAACCATGTGAGTGCCCTTCTAGAGACATTCTCCTCTCCTTAAAGCCAGGATCTCATGTAGTTTGGCTGTTTTGCAGTTTGTGAATTGGTTGACAAGGTAGAGTAGTTGACGAGAGCTGAAACGAGGGATGCGAAGCAAACAAAAATCGCAGGCTGATTCTGAACCACCTAGGCACGGAATTTTGGTTGGGTTCCGAAGCTCATTTCCCAGCAATGTGTCTCAGCTGCCGAAAAATCTCATGTACAGCAATTTGTTTTGCAATTGAGATTCACGGGCAAAACGGAAATCTGTCGCACACTGAACCTCCAACCCAACCACTTGATTTCGCCTACACAAACAGGGTGACTCGAGCTGCAAGTGTTTTGCAATTGAAGCCAATTTCTCTTACTTGAGATCCTGGCTTTAAGAGAGAACTCACAACTGTGTCAATACATGAAAGCGGGAGAAGTCTAACACCCCCCTCCCCCCCCCACAAAAAAAGAGTCTTACAGGCGTGTCAAGGAAGTGAGGCGGGAGAAGAAATGCGGAATGGTGCAGGACAAGATAATGCCGTCCAGGCTCCTGATGGTGGCAGCATTCAGTTCAGAGGGATGGGGATGGTGGTTGGGAGCAAAGAGGAGGATCAGATGGGCATCTTGAGTCGCATCGAATGAACAAGTGGGGAACGGGGTAGACCAGATAGTGACATGCAGGCTGAAAATGATTTTTTTTTTTTTTTTTTTTTTTTTTTTAACAAGATACTGCCGTGCAGGTCGAATCTCTCTCTCTCTTTTTTTTTTTTTAGAATTCTAAAAACCAAGAAAGAAAGAAAGAAAGGAAGAAAAAAAAAAAAAAAAACAAGAGAGTGCCGTGCAGGCTAAATTTGTTCATTGCAAATTCACTTAATAAAAAAAAATAATAATAAAAAAAAAAAAAACAAGATAGTGCCATGCAGGCTCCTGCCGATGGATCATATGTGGAAAATAACAGATGGGGAGGGGACAGACAGATGGGCATAGCAGAGCCAGGGGGCGTGAGAGAGAGAGTGACAGCAAAGAGTAATGGTCAGCAAACAGAGTGACTCGAGCCTTACAGCGACTTGAGTTGCTTCAGTTGGGACATGGATGCAGGGAAAGACCCCCCCGCCACTGAGCTGGAAATTTCCCTGCAGGCGATGGTGGAGAGGGGGGGGAAGAGGACGAGAGAATCTCACAAGGGCGAACGAGACGAGAACCTGAGAGCGGTTTGAGTCGGTTCAGTTGGAACATGGATGCGGGGAAAGACCCCCCCGCCACTGAGCTGGAGATTTCCCTGTGGGCGATGGTGGAGAGGGGGAGGGAGAGAGCGAGAGCCTCATGGGGGTGAACAAGATGAGAACATCAGAGCGGTTTGAGTCGGTTCAGTTGGGACATGGATGCGGGGAATGATCCCCCTGCCACTGAGCTGGAGATCTCCCTGCGGCGATGGTGGAGAGGGGTAGAGGACAAGAGAATCTCACAAGGGTGAACGAGAATATCAGAGCGGTTTGAGTCGGTTCAGTTGGGAAATGGATGCAGGGAATTAAAACCGCAGCCACCGAGTGGGAGATCTCACTGCGGCGATGGTGGAGACTGGGAGAGAGCGAGAGCATCACAAGGGTGTGAGAAAGAACTTCAGAGCGATTTGAGTCGGTTTAGTGATCCATTTGAGCGGTTTGAGTCGGTTGAGACATGGACGCAAGGAATGAATCCCCCCCACCGAATGGGAGATCTTTCTGTGACGATGGTGGAGAGGGGTAGGTAGAGGAAGTGGATGGTGCATGTGGGGACAACGTGTCGAGGTGACAAAGCGGCATGGGATGAGCATGCAGTGCAGCAGCATATACAGACAGACAGACAGCAGCAGCACAGCCGTGTCGTGCCCTTCTTCTTACAGTGCTTGCAGCGATATGGTGGTAAACGAACAAGCACATAGGGATTGGGGTTACAGTGAAGTGAATCAGATGGGTTGAGGAGGGATATCGTACAGTGAAGTGAGGGAGGTGAGTTGGCCGACGACAGAGGGGATGCTTGGCATGCGCGTGGGAGGAATGGAGGACGACGAGAGTCTCCTGTGAGGAGGGGAGAGAGGTTGAAGAGACGGCTGATCATTTTGGCTGAAGTGCTCAAGGTTCAAAAAATGGTTAAGAATGGACGGAGGTGAGATGCCTGATGATGGATGGATCATGGAAGGAATGGTCGGCATGCGGGTGGGTGGAATGGAGGAGGAAGAGAGCCTCTTGCCGGCAGGAGACAAGGGGGGAAGAGGCAGGTTGGAATCTGTGAGCTGTGAGCGGAACAGTACACTCAGGGTTCCTGAGTGACCTGTGATGTGAGCGGAACAGCACAGGCAGGCAGGCGGGCAGGCGGCGGGATGCGGAAGAGCGGGAACAGTGAGCGGCGCAGTGGCAGGGGCGGCGCAACGAGTGCCTTACAGTCGAGGGGGGACGGTGAGTGGTAGAGTGCAGGCAGCACGATGAGCTGCTTGCTTACAGAGACAGAAGGACGGATGGCTTACAGTGATTGCAGGCGCACGAGGGACAGAACCTCCTGAGGGAGAGAGAGCATGGACACGAGGTTGCTGCAGGGAGCGAGCAGTGGATCGGATAGGAAGCGAAGCAGGCGGAGGGAGAGAACGAGAACAGCAGGGAAGGGAAGGGAAGGGAAGGGAAGGGAAGGGAAGGGAAGGGAAGGGAAGGGTAGGGTAGGGAAGGGAAGGGAAGGGAAGGGAAGGGTAGGGTATGGAGGCGGAGAAGTGTCAGAAGGGGCATGACAGACAGTGGTGAGAATGAGTGGACGCATGCCAATCATTCAAGTTCCTGGGGCGCCTCAAGGATTCTATTAGTGTCAGGTCGCTACCTTCCAAGTAAGTGCAGGTGGTTTCTGCGATGCGAAAAAAAAAAAAAAAAAAAAAGAGCTCGGGTGAGCTCGGCCGCTCCCTTCAAGGAGAGAGCATTTACTTTTCTCTGTTGCGGCCGAACAAAAGGAACAAGAGAGCTGCCTTCACCTATCGCGGCTGGCTTCTGAGGCACGTGGAAAGACAACTCTGGTGACAATAAGAGATTCTTCTTAGCGAGTGTGAGAGCTCCCGCCCGGCGCAAGGGCTTGACTTGTATGTCTAGCAGCTAGACGGATACAGTATCCGGCATGGATAAGATATAACACGATATCCTGTCAGTAAATATACGATATCCTGTTAGCAATGAACGATAGTGCCAGGAGAGTGAACAGTGACAGATGAGAGGCCCTGTTGAGAATTCTTGAAAGTGACTCAGATATAGCCAGACGAATCAATCCACAGGTCATGCTATGCTCGCAAGAACCAAAAACATAGAGACTTTGTATACGTACAGTGAGGTTACGTATCCCTGCACGTCACACTTTATCTCCCTTATAAGGTCGCAATCTTCCCCCACCTCGACACCTCCCCTCGTCCCATTGCCAGCCGCGCTGCCGTTGCTCTCTGATGACGGGCCTCGCACGACCTGGCGCTGGCTCAGAATCACGCTTAAAGCGCTCCCTGGGGATGTGGGTCAAGGTTGGGGTGTGGGCGGGAAACGCTAGGTTTCTTTGCCAGTTTCCCCTAATGTCGGGCCTGGCACGCACTGACTGGCTTAGAATCACGCTCAGCGCGATCCCTGGGGATGTGGGTCAAGGTTGGGGTGTGGGTGGAAAACGCTGGGTGGCTTTGCCCGTTCCCTTCTCCCTGATGACGGGCCATGCTCGGTCTGCTGCTGGCTCAGAATGACGCTCAACGCAATCCCTGGGGATTACCAAGATGGGTTGTGAAATAACGAAAAGGGGGAGGGGAGTTGGGGGATTTGGGGGAGAGAGAGTGTGTGGGGGGGTGGAAGGGGGGTGGAGAAGGGGGAGGGGAAGGGGGGTGGGGGAGAGCGATTGCAACCTGGATGGGAATGAGTAGGAAATGTGAACCCAATCTCAAGGTAATCCGACGGTGGAGTGTCTTCGACGCGCTTCCGCGGCGAGGCCGAGACGCGACGCGACGCCAGGGTGGGGTGTGGAAAAATGAGTCTTGGCACGTCTAAAACTCGAGGTAGGGTGCGGAAAAATGACGGGTGGGAGGAGCGCGGCGCAGTTGGGCCCGGCGAGGTAGTGTACTATGTTAAAATGGCGAGAGCGACTCACTCTGCGACTCGCGAATCGGGATAGCGTCGCTTGACGGCACCGCGAACGCTGCGATCAGGCAAGCTGCGACGATGGCGACGACGGCTGCTTGACGTCGAAACCGGCGAGCCGCCATTGATGATGTCGCGACGCGTCGTGACGTCGCACTGGTTAGCGACGCAGCCACAATCGCATTCGCATCATTCGCATCGTTCGCATCCGCTTTCGCCACTGAACATCGAGTAAATCGCTCATTATGTGTATCTTGGGTAGAATATCGAAACGACCCCCGGTCAGGTCGCACAGGAGTATCGATTTCTACTAAAAGTACTTCTCGTTGAAGCATTACTCGTGTGGGCCTGACAACTCTACTTGCAATAGCATTGATACGCGGTGCGGGGTCGCCAACCCTATTGCCAAATCGCGCGTCGCGCGCGGCTACTTGGTCTCCAGATGGCATTGCCGTCTGCTCCCGCCAATGCGGCGGCTTAGCGTCATGGTAGGACGCACGTCCGAAAGCGCTCATCCGTTTTTGATATTAGGGGGTGCTGTGATGTGGAATCTTAAGAGTCTCGTCTGGAAATTGTAGGTGGTTTCAGTGCCACTATTTCGGATGAATGGCTAACGACTCTGATATCGTGAATCCATCAGTACAGCGAATGATTTCTTCCCGCGTTCCGCTCGTCCTCCGGCGGCAGCGTTGTTTCCGCTCCAATTTTTCTGCGGCACGGCGATTCCCTCTCGTCGAGCTCGCGTGCGACGAATGTACAGAATCACGAGATGCGGGAAGCCGGCGGAAAACGCGGACCGATCTGACAGCATGGTGTGTAGTACGAAACTCAAGAAACATCTCGCGATTTCGGAGAATATTTTAGCAAAACCTATTATCCGATAAGCCGCCCGAGAA